TAACATCTGCTAGCACCACGACTGAGTACCTTTATAGGTAAGGTGTTAAAGTGAATATGAAGATTAATCAAATCACTGTTCTTTCATGGTTTACTTTGCAAGTATGGAGATAAAAACATGAACAAATTAAATAATCACACAAAAACGTATGCAGTGATAAATTTCATAAAGAACACTGAAAAGGTGGCTGGATAGGCCCATGAAGGGAAGTATTACTGCTAGTTTTATGTGGTGGGTTCAGAGTCTGGGGTGGATTTAGTGGAAACATTCATAGGAACGTGTTAGATAAATAGAATTTGGACACAGAGTAATTCAGAGAAGGGGACTCTAGATTCCGAGGTGGAAAAGCATGAAGCTTACATGGGAAGGGCTTGTGGTTTTGTCTGATTGAAGAATGGAATTCAAACAAAGAAAAGAAAAAAAAATGAAGAAGAATGGAATTCAGGACAGAGAACAACAGGAAATAAGAGTCGGGTAATAAGATTCTGGAATACAGGTTGGCACAATAAACCAAAAACAATAAAATTCAATTTAACTTGGATGAACTTGTAGTTTTTAGATGGCAATGTAAAGATGTTGCTCCCCTTTCTTCTTCAAAATCATCCCCAAACATTTTAGAACATAATCTCCAACTTTAATGACAAAGAGGCATATATGAACCACAATACATGAAAATTAAAAGCAGAGAGAATAATGATAACCCAGAATAGAAGAAGACCAACTTCACATCCCTCAAGATATCATGAAGTAGTGCTTCTAGAACCCTAGAAATGCTCAGGACATAGAAATACCTATACAAAAGGCAGGACAGAGGCACAGAGTAGAAAACAGAAAACGTTGGAAGTCTGAGGCAGAAGAAATCGAAGCCTTACTTATACTCAATGATGCCAGAGGCAAAAGGATGGGCTAAAGGAAATATTACTAGAAAGATCGGGTCCTGTTTCATTGTTTCTAAAAACTAAACTAACTTATTTTCTGAAATGATTTTTTAATAAAAACATTAATGATGTTAGTACATAATTCAAAATATTTTTAAATAGTTCTAATCAAAAGAATTTTGAAAAAAAATACATATACTCTGGCTCCAAGTCCCCACTCTATAGATTCTCATTTTGTAGAGAGTAGTCAAGCAAGGTGTATTTTATGTTTCTCCTGAAAATCAATGAGCTAGAGTAAAAGGGAATCTAACATCAAAACCTATCAAATTGCAAAATGGCAGAAAGAAAAGTTTTTTTTTTTCAAAGGCAAAAATTGGGTGGTAGGAAAAGTCATCATGCACATTCTGCATAGAAAAACATAGATAAAAATACATGAAGACTTATCCAACAAGCCAGTACTATATACCAGGTACCCATTTAGGAATGAGAAAGTGCAGCACGCAAAAATATTTAGACAAGTGTTTTGGGAAGGGAGAACTGCAAAGGCCCCAAGACAAAGAGGAACATCAAAGAGGCTGGCAGAGCCAGAGAAGAGTGAGTGAGGATATGAGATTAGGAAGATAACATGAAGGGACTGGCACTGCACTATGCACAGGAAGACAGATCCCATATTGCTGACTGAAGTTTGAATCCTGGCCCAGAGGGCCCAAATCCTGACAGGATGAAGAAATGATGGAAAAAAGGATTATGGCATGAATACCTCGATTCGGGAGAGAGGATTTCTCTCTCTCTCTCTCTGGAGAGTACATGTGCCCTCTGGCAATAAAATGAAAAAAAAAAAATGGAAGCAGGGAGCTAAATCATATAGGATCTCTTGGATCTGGGAAGGACTTTGGCTTTAACTCCTAGCAAGATGGTAAACCTTATGATTAGAGAAACAAATATCTGGGACCAGCAGACGACTTAATTGTTATGTCGCTGGACTTTCACATGGCTGGCTGGTTTGAGTCCCGGACCCAGCGGCTTAAAAACAACGCAGGGTGTGGGTGTGGGTGTGCATGCCCCAAATCATGAGAGGAGAATGGAAGTGAAGGGATTGTGGTATGGCCATCCTCTTTGGGGGTGATTTCTTGCTTTCTGTTTCTCTGTCTCTCAGGTGAGTGCACACATCCTATAGTAAAAATTCCTCTTTAAAAAAAAAAAAAAAGAATAGAGGAGAAGCGATTGTAGTGTGTTCATCTCTCCTGAGGGGTGATTTCTCACTTCCTATTTCTCTGGTAAGCACATGCACCCTATAGCAAAAATTTCTCTAAAAAGAGGGAAAAAAAGAAAAACAAATATTTAAAAAGTCATTTTATTTGTGTGTGTGCATGTATACATACATATACTTTTTTCCCCTAAAAATCAGTGAAACTTGTTTAAATAATTAATAACAGAAATAAGAGTTACAAGTGGTGCTTGGGCATCCTAGCTAGCTAAATAAACATAGGCAATATCTATTACAGTATCTTAAAATGTTTAATTAATAGAATAAATGGACAGCAGAGTTATACTGAAAAGGAACTGAATCCCTCTGGAGTTCTTGTAAAATCAAAGGCAAGATATCAAGAATATAACAGTTATGCTAAGATACAATCTTTCATGAAAGATTTCAGGGCATTCTTATAGATATCATCAGGTATATTTTCCTATTTTATTTATTTTTTAGAGAGATTTTTGCTAGAGAACATGTGCTCGCCAGAGAGAAATAGAGAGCTGAAGAGAGAGAACATGAGAATTCACTCCCTCAGGGAGATGACCATGCCATAATCCCTTTTCCTCCATTCTCCTCTCAAGATTTTGGGCATGCATACACACACACCTGGCGTGAGTTTCAAGCTGCCAGATCTGGGACCTGAACCATGGTTAGCCATGTGGAAGTCTAGCAGCTTAGCCACCACACCACCCGCTGACCCTACTTCCTATTTTATATAGGTTAGGCAACAAGACACTAACATAAGCCTGTTGGGAGTCATTTGGAAGCTTTTTCTCCTTTGAGTTCACGCAAATTTAATGCTCTACTTTTCAAGCTCAGGCTTTCCGGACTTCTGGCTTTAATAATATATTCATGATGATTGGCAATCAATCTGTTATTCTTACTAATTAAAGAATTACACAGACTCATGCGTGCGCATACATATTTCACAATTTGAGCTACATTGTTAATTTTGCTGCTTGTGATATTGTACTATCACCTAAGTGATAGTATGCCACTGTGATTAGGTTTCACCTAAATGTTTACGACACTGCGGGTATAGAAATATATGGGCAAATTTTTAGAGAATCGACATTTTGCAAGATGCAACAAACATTTTAATTTATACATGAGAAAAGGAAGTGTTCTAAAAGGGTATGCATTTCAAGTTATTGCAGATTATTTGTAAGAGAATTTCTGAAAGTAAAACATGTTTAAATTTAATCAACAGTAACAAGTTAGTGTATTTAAAATAATGACAAAAATCTTTTCACTGGTCATGTTACTCATGACAAATTACTATGAAATAGCATGTTTAAGGCAAGATGTCAATACAGCATGAATCACATGGTATTTAGTTTTCTTCTGCAGATTACAGCTGTTTTTCTTGGGATAAATGCAGTACCAAAACACAACCAACTGATTAAAAAAGTACCTCTGACATAACTCCAATAATTTTCAGGACACATCAATGACAGTAGTTTTGCTATGGCCAGTTCTTTTAAGGATTACATTTCTGCACTGTTGCTTTAAGTGTGTCTGTAAAAGCTTGTTCTTTGTTAAGTCAGTTTACTGACTCCAGTCTAGCTGAGAGAATTTAGTTGACTGATCTGTTTATCTAGTACACTATATCGTGCATCACCTTTCTTCTGATGATCCAGAAGAATTTTATACACTTTCATGCCAAGATCCAGTTTATTTTTTCTGCAGCCTAGAGCCCAGGGTATTGACTGTCATAAAGAATTGAAAGTAACAAGTCACCTCTTCTTATGGTTAGGGAAATGAATATACTTTCTTTTCCTTCATCATCACTACTGTAGTTTCAAATTAGCCAAAGTACTCTTCCTGGCTGTCAGAGAATATTTGCTTTTAAATTATTTTGGTGATAAACAATGCCATGAAAGCCAAGCAAAACTCTTCATTTTTATTACTACTTCTTTTGTCTGATAATAGAATTTTACAAACGCACTCATTTTTTCGTTAACAGAAAAATGATGCTCAGCTAATTTCTTCAACACCTATAATAGGACTTTCTACATTAATGCAAAGAAATTAAATTCTGCTATTACAGACAACCACAAATACTTTTATCATACCTTATTATGATTTCTTAGAAAAAATATATAAATTCTGAAGTTATGTAATATTTTTTGTTAGGTTTTTTGCCATAAGGTGCATGCACTCACTAGAGAGAGAGAGTGAGAGGGAAAGTGAGAAATCACCATGCCTCCCCCACCCCCAGGTGGAGGGATGGCTACACTGCAATTCCTTCTCTTCCATTCTCTTCCTGGGGTTTTGGGCACATGAGCATATGTTCTGGGTGTGATTTTCAAGCTACGAGGTCTGGGACTCAAACTGTAGTGGTCATAGGGGAGTCCAGCATCTGACCCATCATACCACCTGCTGGCCCCCTGAAGTCATGTAATATTAAAAGTATTATGTTATATGGCCAAGAGTCTTACAAGTCTCTTTTGTAAGCCAGGTCATTAATAGATGAACACCAGGATAAAAATATTTTTAAAAAGTATTATTTATATTCACATATGGGAATTAAGCTGAAGTTATATGATTTACTAAATGAATGGTCCATTTTGTTCCTTTCTAAAACATTCAAGATTTGCATTAACAACTTTGTGTAAAGCAGAAAAGAAAAACAAATATATAAACTATATTAAACTGTTCATTTGAAGTGTATGATCAATTTTAACTAGAAAGATTTGACTTCTGGTTACTTTTTATCAGGGAATTAAGTTAGGAAAGAAGAAAGTAGAAAACTTGGTCACTCAGTTTAGCAGTTTTCTCAGACTGAAAAAATAATAATGAAATCTCCAGGGTTAAGAATTTCAAATGAGGCTGCTAGACAGAGAAGACAGACCAAATTCGCTTACCACTTGAACCATTTTGAGATATCTGGCATATCTTGGATCCTTGGCTACAGTTAAGATATTTTCTGCTGATACTTCACTTTCCTGTTGTCCAGAGTCTTGTGTACTGTTCTGCTGTAGAGAGTATTTCATGTAAATCTTTAGACAATTCAAAAAGGGGACTATCATGTTACTTAAAAGGGATGTTTCTTTTTATAAGGCAATATATATTAGGAAAAAGTCAAATTTCTAAACTTAAATACCTATAGTTTAATCATGGGACATATGTTTCCAAATATACATATATTTAAATATGACTTCAGAGGAAGAAATACTTAATAAAAATACTATACTGTTCTTTAAAACACAAATATATTTATGGTATTAAAAAATTAAAATTGTTTTACTAATCCCCAAGGTGCTGATATAAAAGAGGAATGCTAGGTGAGTATTTTATTTAATAAAACTTTAAATAAAGTTAATACAAGCATTTGACTTGTAAATTGTTCAATTCTAATGAACAGTGGACTGATTTCCTAGGTATTTACCAGCTATCCTTTTAAACTTCTCATTTAATAAATCATCTTAGTCTGAGTGGATATGGTTATTTTAACTTTTTGGAAAATAATGCCTGGACAATTTATGAAAGAAAAGTTAGCTTTTCTGTCAAGATTATCTGGTTTTGTGCATTCTAGCTACTGAGAAAACTACTAATGGTAACGTCTACAGATTGGTTAAGAGTAAATACTACTTGCAGTGAATATTGGGAAAAAGTCTGTTTAGATAAAAAATACTGATACTGTGTCATACATGCAATCCTCATTTTGCACAGTATGGTACTGACTGAAACTTGCCCATATTGTGACTCTGCTTCTCAAGCACCAAGGTAGAACTGCTTGTATCCAGTAATTAATTTTTCTACCAAACTGAACATCTAGAATAAGTTTACTTTTGTGAATCTCAATATCTGCACACAAGTTTTAAGAGAAATTTCCTTAACAAATGAAATCATTTTATGTTTATGTACATATGCTGAAATGTAGATAAGTCAATAAATATCTTTATATATTCAAATTCATCAGAATATGAATGTGAATTTTATATTAAGAGTTTTCTTCAGATAACTGAAATATAAATAAAATTCGGCAAAATCTCTGAAGCAAATAAAACATCCAAAAATCCTTTAGGTTTCACCTATGACATGATATTAGGTATGACAAAAATCAGTAGATACATATCTTCGTCTATAATATATACAAATAGAAAAAAGTCCAAAACACTGTTACGTAAACAAAAAAATATAAATGGAGTATTTTTTTGAAAAAAAATGCATGGACAGTAGACTCACAAACCAATAACAGCACAATGGAGCAAATGAGAAGTACATCCGGGCCTAACAAATTTCAACTCTCACCTGTTAACATTTGCCTTATAATGAAGACCTCAACAAAATTTAATTATGTCATATCTTACACCTTTGCTATTTGAATGACCCATTAAATCCTCTATCATATCTCTCAACTGTTCTTCATTTTATTCTCAAATTAATCTCAATCTGTATAATTAGATGTTCCATGGTGAAGCATGGTAAGTTCTGAACCATGAAATTAAAGTTTCAGAAAAACTAGTATACACACCTTAGGTCTTTGACTCATATATAGATTAGAGACAATGATAAATAGTTTTTTGTTAAAAGTCCATGATTACCCCTTATCTGATAACCGAGTTGACTGTAATGTCAATGGAAGCTCTGTGTTAAGCTCATTTCAAAATATTTTACACAAAACGTACCAATTCAAAACAATGAAGAGAAATGAGAAGTCTATTTGATTAACAATATGTCAGTTTTATATTAAGCTATTCAACACATAACTTCATCACAATTTTTTAAACTCAGAAAGCCAACAGAACTTTATAAATTCTCTAAACAAAATGATATACAATTTTAAAATAAAACTGTCAGAGATATATAGCAATTTGTGAAGCAAATTAATAAATTCATCTATGATTACGAGTAATCAATTCTTTGGGAACTTAAATAGGCAAGAACCATCACAACTGCATAAAAGTTCTAAAATACATTTTTATACAGTATATTAATAACCTAGAAAAATTAATATTCAAAGTTAGATACCACTTAAAAATTTTATAGAAATATATGACTACTATACCAACCAAAGAATACTATCAGGTAAAATGAAAACTTTGTTAATGTTCTTTATAGATGCCTTATTTTAGAAAAAGGGTGGTCCATATTTAATTGAGAGAACCTTATAAACTCCTCTGCAACACCCAGATTTCCTCTTGTTCTGAGGATTGGAATTTACTATAGTAACTAAAACAAGGTTAAATTTTCTAAAATCTAATTGTTCAGTAAATAAGTATCTAATTCATTCTCTAATACAAAATATATCTAAATGCATGGCTCCTCCTACAGGGCCTTTGATCACACACTTTTGATGTTAAATGAACTCAATGCAGGAGACAGTGTGATGCAGGGTAGCAGGTATGAGCAAGTTCTCTTGGTATCAGATAGCCTGAGTTAAAATTTCAACTTCTACACTGACTGACTTCTGTGTATCCCATTTGATCCATCTGTAAAGTAGAACTGATAACAAAGTACTCTACTTACATCACAGGGTTGCTGAGATGATTAAAAGAGTTAATTTATGAAAAGCACTTAGAAATACGTGAGTCCTGGCATAAAGGAGGCCCTTTTTAAACGCTAGCTATGATCATTGTTACCGTCATCATTGTCATCTAGAAAATCTCCCATGAAAAGTGCCTCTAGTTACAAATGCGAAGTTCTGCTATATAGACAGTCTACTTGATTAGTGTTACTTCAGTGGGCCAAAGCAACACTCATGTTAAGAATAAAACATAAAAGAATCCATTATTTTGTTTTGGATTTTATTACTTCATTGAGATACACTAGAAATCTTCTGTTCTCAAACAATGAAGAATTTTTATTTTGTGAACTAAAAAGTAACAAGAAAGCTAAATTTGTATGGAAGTATAAATGCACATTAAAACATAAGAGCCAAATGTTAAGTGTGACTCTTACTACAATGTTGATTCAAACGAATGTGCTCTAAAAACACTTTTTAGAAAACTGGTATTTCTAAGGTCAGTAGCTCTCAAAAATCACTTAGGTATCTTATTAAAAGGTAAATTCTGATTCAGCAGTTTTTTTGGAGAGATTTTCGCTATAGGGCATGTGCGCTTGCCAGACAGAGAGAGACATAGAGACAGAAAGTGAGAAATCACTTCCCAGGGGTGATGGTCATGCTGCAATCCCTTCTCCTCCATTCTCCTCTCGGGATCTTGGGCACACACACACACGTGCCCGGTGTGAGTTTTAAGCCACAGGGTCCGGGACGCGGATTGCGGTTGACTATGTGGGAGTCCAGTGACATAGCCATTACGCTAACTGCTGGTTCCCTGATTCAGCAGTTTTGAGGTCATGTCTGAGATTATTCATTTCTAACAAGTCCCAGGTTATGTCCATGCTGGTAATAGGACATATTTGGAATAGGTTAAAGGATATCAAGGAATTACCGTTAAATTATATTGTATATGAAAAAGGCATTTATGTAAGAAAATGTTGAACCTTTCAGAGATGCTCAAGGAATTACACAGGGGTAAAGTGACATGACACCTGGGATTCATTTTAGCAAGTAACAAAAAAGGCAAATGAGACCACTGTGATAAACTTTGTCGATTCTGGGTAATGAGAATTTGCATATCTGTTATATTATTCTCTCTACTTTTATGTAATAAAATTGTGCAGTACAAAAATTGCATAATAAAACATTTTCTTTTCTCTTTTTTTTTTTGGAGAGGTTTTTGCTATAGGGTGTGTGCACTCAACCAAAGAGACAGACAGAGAGACCGAAAGCGAGAAATCATCCCCGAAGGGGGATGGCCACACCGCAATCCCTTCTCTTCCATTCTCCTTTCCGGATCTTGGGCACGCATGCACACGCACCCAGCGTGAGTTTTAAGCCACTGGGTCTGGGACTCAAACCATGGCCGGACTACATGGGAGTCCAGCAACATAGCCATTATGCCAACTGCTGGTCCCCCATAATAAAACATTTTAAAAGTACATTTCTTATAAGAACTTAGAAAAATTTCCATAGAGAACTTGAAAATAATTCAGTACTTTTCCTAGTCATGCATAGATCAATGTTTTTTTGCAGGGAAAGAACATATTAACCTCAAGAAGCCCTCCAAAATAACAAAATGAAACAGCCAACTTTTTTTCCCAAACTTTCTTTTCTTTTTCTATCTTACGATTTTACTACTGAAAGTTTAGTATTTCTATTAGCTTTTTTTTTACAATCTGCTGCTTAGGTCTATCATGTTCAAGCAAGATGGTCTGCTCATGTTTCCTAGAACTTAAGTACTTACCTGTGACTGCTCTGAAGTGGCTTCAGAATATGATCCATTTGTGACACTAGTCACACTTAAAGGAGATACTTCCAATGTAACATTATCTAGGCCTGGGATAGATGACAACTGAGAAAAGAAAACTAGTGTTGGTATATCGCAATAATATTAGATAAACCAATAAACACAGTAAGTTTGTTTTGTTTCATTTTGTTTTTTTGCTATAGGCATGTGGGCTCACTGGAGAGAGACAGAGAGAAAAAGGGAAAGTGAGATATCACTCCAAAGGGGAATGGCTACGCCACAATCCCTTCTCTTCCATTCTCCTTTTGAGACTTTTGGGGCACAAACATACACGTACTCAGTGTGTTTTTCAAGCCACTTGTTGAGGACTTCATCCACACAGTCGGCTAGGTAGGATCTAGCCACCTTAATCACCATGCAACCTTCTGGCCCCACACTGTAAATTCATAAAAATGTGTTTTTTAAAATAGCCATCTTGAGTTTTAAGGCTATACAAATAGGTTCATAAAAATCTCATCTTCAATTCTTTATGTCATAAAGTAAATATAGCACTAACAGAAAAAGACTCTTTTAATTTCTCAAAAATCAAGGGACCAGCATGTGATGAGGTTAAAGTGGCTAGATCCCACATGGCTGACTGTACAGTTCGAGTTCTGGGCTCAGTAGAAAAACACACTGGGTGCCTGTGCATGCATACCCCAGATCCCAAGAGAATGGAGGAGAAAGAACTGCAGCCTGGCCATCCCCCTGGGAGATGCCCTATAGCAAAACTTAACAAAATAAAATACAATCAAGCTGAACTGGTCCTTTAACTTAGTGGTTAAGGTAGCTGGATCAGACAATGCAGACCACCACTGGAATCCTGGCCCCAGCAGCTTGTTAAACATGCCGGGTACATGTTTGTGTATACCCAAAATCCCAACAGGATTCAGAAATGGAGGAGAGGCAATTGCAGCATGACCACACCCCACTGGGGGATTTCTCTTCTTTCTGTCAGTGGCAAGTACACACGTGCTCTGGCAATTAAAAATCTAATCAAGCTTATAACTATCATTTTTCCAGGAATTATTTTTAAAATATAAAATCCTAGTATAAGAACTGAGAGCCTGAGCTTTTAAGTCAGACTGCCTGGGTCTTAGCTGTAACACTCACAAGCTGTATAACCTTATATAAGCCTCCTTTGACTCAGTTTTCTCAACTGTGAAATGGGGATAAAAGATTTACTTTACAAAGTTGTTATACATTCATTTAATTAATAAATTTACTCTGTTGGGGACAGCAGGTGGCATGGTGGTTAAGATGCTGGATTTCCACATGGCCAAATACAGTTCATGTCCTAGACCTGGAGGATTGAACATTATGCCAGATACATGTGTGAGTGTGCTCAAAATCCTGAGAGGAGAATGGAGGAAAAGGACGGAGGTGTGGACATCCCCCAAGGGATGATTTCTCACTTTCCTTCTTTCTATCTCTGGCAAATGCACACACCCTGTGACAAAAACCTAAAAAAAAAAAAAAAAAAAAAAAACACCAAAAAACCCCACTTCATAAAAAAAGTGCTTTGGAGCCAGCAGGTAGTGTGAATGTTAAGGTGCTGGACTGTGCATGGCCAACTGCACAGTTCAAGTCCTGGACCTGGCAGCTTGAAAGAAATCATGCTGAGTGCATGTGTGTGCATGTCCAAAATCCAAAGAGGAGATGAGGAGAGAAAGCAGAGTGGCCACTTCCTGGGGGGTGATATTACACTTTCTCACATACTATATGTGTCTTTCTGTTGAGCACACTCTCCCTACTATAGCAAACAAACACAAAAACAAAACAAAAAAAGAAAAATTGCTTTGTAGCATATTTTAAGATTGAATAATGTGGAATAAAAGAAAATTCTTGTCTTTACATGTTAACGTCTGACCATTCATTTTTCTTTCTTTAAACATCTGTCATTGAATGTTACTAGAATGTACTGTTACTCATACACAAAAAATGGACATATTAATAGCTTTTCAACCTAAAATAATTAAGCAATTGAGGATAGATGTGCAAAAACCATGCAATCCCTTTTCAGATTTCATCTTGATAACAATGATATACATTTGTCAGATGTTTGGCCAACTTTGGGGACTGACTCTATGACCATGGAAATAACTAAGGTTAACTTGTCCAAATGACAACTTATGACCTTGGACTCACAATTCACGTGCATTCCCTAAACATTAAAGTAAGACACTACTTACTTTAATATACTATAAAGAATTTAAAAAAAGGAAAAAAAATGGCAATAAGATCTTAAGCAGTAGTACTCATTGAGAACTGCTGACTGATGACAATACTCAGCACAGTGGCTGTAACCCAAATAGTTTTAAGTGGGTGTGGCTGCTGGAATAGCCTGGATATGTTCAAGGCCAGGTATCCTAGATTTCCAGGTTAGAGAAATATCCTAAGACAGACTTAGTTGCTGAAGTCCATAAGGAGATATAGAAAATACAGATTAGACATTCTGGCCCTTATTGTAAAGATATTAATGTAATTTTTTCTTTTTTCATAAATTTTAATTTTTAAATTTTTTTTAGTTTTCTGCCATAGGGTGCCATAGAGTATTTCTCTCGCCAGAGAGAAACAGAGACAGAGAGAAGAAAAGTGAGAAATCAGCCTCCAACGGGGGATGTCCATACCACAATCCCTTTTCCATTCTCCTTTCAGGATTTTAGGCATACATACACATGGAGCTATCATGATTTTCAAGTTGCCAGGTTCAAGGCTTCAACTATGGTTGGCCATGTGGAGTCCAGTGCCTTAATCACCATGCCATCTGCTGACTCCCAACGAATATTTTTTAGATCTTTCTTTTGTAAAAGGGTAAAATCATAAAAGTATTGTCTCTATTACTTGATAAACAGAAAAAAAATGTATATATGTTAGAAAGGAATGCAAGTTAAAACTAAATGTCACTGTTATCAAAATCTTTAGGCTTTCAAATCAAAATAAAGCTTTCTATTTTTCTTAGCTCTTGTAATTTTTGACATCAAAATTATTACTCTTTATTGCAGTTAAGATATTTACAAACAGAAAACAGCTTAGACTGTCTACAAATTTTGCTCTGGAGATTGCTAAATTTTAATACAATTATTACTGTGCCATCAAATAATAACTATTAAAATAAATGAATTTTATTTCAAATGAAGAACTACTTAACAACTCAATACGTAAACGTGTTTAAGCTTTTGACTAGTATAATGAAAAAAATCTTAATCCATGCATACATTTGAATAGACTAATTAGTTGTTCATAAAGAATACCATTTCCTTGCAATTATAATAAATTTTAAAAACCCATTAACATTGGGACCAGCAGATGGCATAATGATTGTACACAGTTGACTGTGATTTGAGTCCTGGACCCAGTGGCTTGAAACCCATACCAGGCTTGTTGTGTATGTGTGTATGTGTGTGTGTGTGTGTGTGTGTGTGTGTGTGTGTGTGTATGTGTGTGCACCCAGAATCCTGAGAGGAGAATAGAGAAGGAACTGTGGTGTAGCCATCCCTCTGGGGGCGGGGGTGATTTCTTACTTTCTATCTCTCTGGTACACGTACACGCCCAACAGCAAAAACCTTTCTCTAAAAAAAATTATAAATAAAAAATAAAACAAAACTAAACAAACAAAAACCCCATAACATGATAGCAACAAAGTATTATTTCATAGATGCTGGAGTTAAATTAAATTGCCAAATGTAATTAAAGTATGACTGAGAAAGTTGTCATATGTACAGCAAAGTCTATATTATACATTATTGAGAAGTACAAACCTTTGCATCTAAAATATTAAGAGTTGTTTCAATTTGCTGGATACGAAGAGAAAGGTCTGCCAGTTTCTAGAAAAGAAAAAAATCAGTGACATAAGAATGAAGTCTTTGATTAAAATAAACTGGTAATGAGAACAAAGAGCAGATGAGAAAATAATAAAAATCATAGAATATTTATTATTTTCTGATACACTGTGGTCTTACTGACATGTGCAGATAGGGGAACTCAAGTATTCTATTATCTGTATTAGAATACTTCCTGGTTGTTTTATAAAATTATATTCACTGATAAGAAAAATTTACATTTTCAGCTTTAGAAAACTCATTATTGGAACAGCAAACCACTATAAAATCAAAACACAAACTCAACCCAGGACAGTCTTTTGCTCACTGCTGTACCCCTAGTGCCCAGAACAGTACCTGACACTTAATGAGAGCTTATACTGCTTTGTTTATGCATGAAGCAAGTCTTGAGAGAAAACCAGAGAAACAAAAAAATTTAGCTAAAGACAACCTGGAACAGGTTCTGCTTTTATAAATTCCTCAAGTACATAGGCATACATAGTTTGCTCCAAAATTTGAAAAGTGAAAAGGGATGAAACTGGAAGATGACAAATTCATTTTGGAAAGAATTCAAACAATAAAGAGGACCAGTCCTGTAGCACAATGGTTAAATGCTGTGCTTGGAAGCTGGATCCCACAAGGCCAACCATGGTTTGTATCCCAGCCCCAGCAACTTGGAAAACACTGGGCATGTATGCCTAAGTGCCCCACACCCTGTCAGCACAGACAAACTGAGAAAAAAAAACGCAGTATGACCATTTCATTTTTCCTTGTCTCTTTCTCTGTTTCTCTGGTGTACATACATGCTTCTGGCAATGAAAACAAAAACAAAAAGAAAGAAATAAAGAGTACTAAAAAAAGCAAAAAAGAAACAATCTACCATCAAAATCCAAGAAAAACTAGAACAGAGAGCTTTCCATGCTCTAGTTACTCTATTCAGTAAATTATCTACACCCAAATAAAAGTAACATCTTAAAATATGATCCATAAGAGCATTTATTGTAAACCCTCAAATCCTAAACATTACCATGTTCAGTCCTCAATCCAAGAGCAGTTGGCCAGTTTACTAACTGGCAGCTCTGCAGCATTCTGACTGCTTTCTGGGAAATTATTAAGATCCTGACTTAACAAGCAGAACTTTAACACCCCAAGAAATGGCCACTTTGCTCACATTTGTGGGGGAGGGACTGAAAACAGCCACAGAGTAAATACTTCTTAGAAGACATCTATTTTTTTTTCTTCTTCTTTTTTTTTTTTTTTTTTTTTTTTTTTTAAGTTTTTGCTATAGGGTACAAGCACTGGCCAGAGAGAGACAGAGAGAGAGAAAGAGGGAAAGAAAGAAATTACTCCTACCCCTCACGGGGAATGGCCATGCTGCTGCAATCCCTTTTTGTCCATCCTCCTCTTGGGCCTTTGGGTATGTAGACACCCCATGCCTAGCATAATTTCTAAGCCCAAGTCTGGGTCTCAAACCACACTGTCAGGCATGTGGGATCTAGTCACTTTAACATCTACACCACCAGCGTCCAGGACACTTAAGTCTTAAAATAAAGCTATTTTGATATCCACAAGATGTAAGTTAAAAGTAAAAACATTAAAATCTATTTTTTTTTCTTTTAGGGAGAAGTTTTTGCTATAGGGTCGTGCACTCGCCAGAAAGACAGAGAGACAGAAAGCAAGAAATCACCCCCAGGGGGGATGGCCATGCCACAATCCCTTCTCCTCCATTCTTCTCTCAGGATCTTGGGCACGCACGCACGCACACATGCCCAGCCTGACTTTAAACTCCCGGGTCCAGGACTCGAACCGCGGTTGACTACATGGGAGCCCAGCGACATAGCCATTATGCTAACTGCTGGTCTCGGCATTAAAATCTAGTTTTAATGGCATCAAAGCTAAGTTTAACCTTGACTTCTAGGATTTGTTCACATAAGGATTTTACATAAACAAAAATGCAGGTTTATAAATAAATCCCTCAAATTTGTAAGTGTATTTCAAAAAATCATGTAAATTTAATTTTGACAAATTTAATCAGTTTTTAATTCATTAGAGAAGAAATATTACAGCAAATATGCAAAGCAAATGAATTAAAATTTTTTTTCTTTAGGGACCAGCAGATGGCATAATGGTTATGTCGCTAGATTTCCACGTAGTTGACCATGGGTTCAAGTCCCAGACTGGAGGCTTGAAACTCACACCGTGTGTGTGTGTGTGTGTGTGTGTGTGTGTGTGTGTGTGCCCAAGAACCCAAGAGAATGGAGGAGAAGGGATTGATGTGAGGCCATCCCCCCTGGGGGGTGATTTCTCGCTTTCCGTCTCTCTGTCACTCTGTGTGTCTCTGGTGAGCATAGGCACACATGTGCTTGCTAAAGAGACAGAGAGAAACAAAGAGATGAAAAGCGAGAAATCAGCTCCTGGGGAGGATGGCCACATTTCAATCCCTTCTCCATTCTCCTCTCGAGATCTTGGGCATGCACACATATATGCCTGGTGTGTTTCAGCCTGCCAGGTCTGGGACTCAAACTGAAATTGGCCATGTGGGAGTTCAGTGATGAAACCATTACTGGTCCCTTGAATTAAAAATTTAATTGTATGTTTCAATGTACCTATATAAATATGTACTTTGAAGTAATCATCATCATGATTATAAACATTTGAACATTTGCCTATGGATGCTACACTGTATATGCAACATATTAGTTGAAGTCTAACATCAAATATGTGAAATAGGAACTGTTTTAAACATGAGAAAACTAAGTCTTCATACAAGTAAAATAGCCTGAACTCAAACACTCTTAACTCCTGTGCCAATATTTTTCATCAGATACTATTTTTGAGAGAATTTTACATTTCAAAACATGATGATAAATTCTTTGGTAGTGCACAGACAGAATTTTTGCTATCCAAAGCTAACAAATGACCAATCCATCTTATCCTAAGATGCTACTGTGCTATATACTGGGAATCATTTTTCTGATTTTGATAAATTTCTTTAAAATATGCTATTTACCTGAAGTTATTTTTAAAATTGATATGAAATATTTTTCAGGATTACAGGCCAGTCCTTGGCAGATGAAGGCAGCTAGATACCACATTGAAGACTGTGGCTTCACTTTTTGGGAAGCTAGGTGAAGTTCGTTTCTAAGATATCTATATTTTCTGCATTATCCTCCATAACCCCCAGGTTTCTTAATCTCAGCTCTTGATATTTTGGGCTAGGTAATTCCTTGTCATGGGGTGGGGGTGGGGGGGCTATCTTGTGCATGATAAGATACATGAAAAATCTCAGATCTCTACCCTCTGAATTCCAGTAGTGATCCCGTTATACAACCCAAAATACCCTTGGAAATTGCCAAATGGCCCCCAGTGGAGAATCCCTGCTCAAAGTGTGGATTACTGTAGATACAATTACCATTATCAATGACAGTAACTTAAAGCTTTAGCAAGGAATGGAAAGGTAACAGTCTTTCTCATCCATTAACCATCCTCTTGCCTTTTCGAATATCTGAAATAAACTTAAAATCCCTTGGTTTGAGATAACGGGGGGGATTTATAAGGCACCTAAACTTTGTCAGATAAGGTGAGAACATTTTTTTATGGTTGTTAAATATCCAACTTGTCTCTAGAAGAGAAACTATTTTAATTTTGAAAACTTTGCTATATGGTGTGTGCATTTACCAGAGACAGAGAGAGAAGGAGAGAGATAGGGAAAGTGAGAAAGCAGCCCCTGGGGGGATAACCACACTGCAATCTCTTATCTTCCATTCTCCTCTCAAGATTTTAGGTATGCATGCATTTTCAAGCTGCCAGTTGCAGGACTTGAATGATGCAGTTGGTCATGTAGGCTCCAGTCATCTTAACCATCATGCCACTGGCTGGCCTGAAACTATTTTAAAATAATGGATATCTTGGTATATTCTATTGTGTTATATATGTCCCAGAAGCCTGAAAGGGGAAGAATAAATGGTTTTATTAAGCTTCATCTGATACTTAAGCCAAGCAGTTGTAAAAGATACAGTAGCAAATAAGATTTTGAGTAAAACATTATACAGTTGAAGGTTAAATCTAATAATGGGCTTAAAAAATGGATGTATAGAAGCTCTGTGAAATTTTTTAGGTTATGTGAAAATCCTCAGCACTTTTATTAGTACTTAAAGATTTTAGAAAAAAGAAAATTTTCAGATAAAAAAAGATTAAAAAAAATCCAGCCCTCTATAGCCATGTAACAAGCCCAAATCAAAATACCACCAACTCTTTTATTTACAAAGTAACTCTGGTTTTAAACTTTACTATCAGTAGTCTGCTCAGGTTTACATGCAATATGCATAGAACTGGCTTTGTTCCTTCCTCCCTTTTAAAAATTTGCAATACCAACAGACTAGCATAGGATTTTGCTGATTAGGGCAAGAATCAAAATGCTTACTGGGGATTTATAAAGGAAGAAGAAATGACCCTAAGTAATTTTGTAACTTGGGTCTAATTCAACTCTCCTTTCTCTGTCCTCTAATCTCACCTCTACTTTGATGCCAGTCATTAGGAGAGTGATAAAGTAGCACAGTGTGCAGTTTTTCGAAAAGTTGAGTTCTTCACAGAATTCAGTTCTACACTTTCATGTTATTAGAGAACTCTAAAAGTAGTGTACTGGAGACAAAATAATTGGAACAATTTGTTTTCATTTTAATTCCTGTTTGAGGTTAGCTGTAAGGAAAACTGTTACTACTGGGAAAAAATAATCCTATTTACCTTAGCTACAAAACAATAAAATACTTAGGAATAAATTAACCAGAAGGCAAAAAATGTGTTCACCAAAACTGTAACACTGACAAAAAAACTGAAGTAGACACAAAAAGTGAAAAATTATCTTGTGCTTGTGTTTTAGAAAAATTATTGCTAAAATCTCTGTTCTATTCAAAGAGAGCTACAGAGTTATTGCAATCCGTATCAAAATTCCAGTGACAGACATAGAAAAAAAAATCCTAAAATGTGTATGGAAGCAAAAAGATGTTAAATAGCCAAAGTGCTCTTAAATTGTAAGAACAAAACTAGAGGCATCATTCTATCTGACTTTTTTTTTTTTTTTTTTGCAAATAGGGAATGTGCGCTCACTGGAGAGGTAGAGACAAAGAGAGAGAAAGAGATAAAGTGAGAAAGCACCCCGAGGGGGGACGGCCTCTCGTGAAATCCTTTCTTCTCTTAGGATTTCATGTACACACATATACTCAGTGTGTTTCTTGAGCCACTGGGTCTGGGACTTGAATCACAGTCAGCCACATGGAATCCAGTTGCCTCAACCGCCATGCCCCTGGCTGGCCCAATACCACCTGACTTCTAAACTATACTAGAAAGTTATAGTAATTAAAAACAGCAAGATACAGGCATAAAAAGGGACCCATAGACCAATGGAACAGAAGAGAGACAGAAATAAATCCACATATTTATGGTCTTTTGATTTTTCACAAAGATACCAAGGACACATAATGGAGAGAGGAGTTTCTTCAATGAACAATGTTGAGAAAAATTAGATATTCGCATGCAGAAAAATAAAATTAAAACTTGATTTCACACCATATACAAAAAATCAACTCAAAATTGATTAAAGAATTACACAGAAGACCTGAAACTGTAAAACTACTAGAAGAAAACATGGAGGAAAAGCTCCATGACACTGATGTGAGCAATAATCTATCGGATATGACCCCAAAATCATAGGTAACAAGAGGGAAAAAAAGACCAAAGAGTTTACATCAAGCTGAAAAGCTCCTGCACAGCAGAAGAGAAAGGCAAAAAAAAAGAACAGCATTGCCTGGTTGGCCTAAAACACACTATATGATGGACTAGAGAAATAGAGGAAGGGAGGGTGCTCCTCTCCCTCTTTCTCTCATATTCATACACAGGCAATGTATCATGAATAAAAGAAAAAAATTTTTGAAAAAAGAAAAAAATATTAACAGAATGAAGAGACAACCTACAGAAGAACATATTTGTAAACCATATGAATCATAATGAATTTATATTACAAATAAATAAGGAACTCTAATAACTTAATAGGATTAAAAACAAATAACCCAATTTTTTAAAAGGGCAACTAGCTATTTCTTAAAAGAAGACATACCGACGGCCACAAGATTTATTTATAAAATGCTCATTATCATAAACCATCAAAAAATGTGAATAAAAACCACATGAGATATCATCTCACATCTGTTAGAAGGGCTATCATTAAAAAGGCAAAAGCTAGTAACTGTTGGAGAGAGAGACAAAAGGGAGCACCTGTACACTGTACACTGTTGATGTGGATGTGAATTAGTACAGCCATCTTGGAAAATAGTATGAAGGGAACCTCAACAAATTAAAAACAGCACTACCATATGATCCAGCAATCACATTACTGTAATATATCCAAAGGATAGGGTATCAGTATACTGAAGCACTACTTAGAGTAGCCAAGGTATGGAATTGACTTATATATCCATTAACTAATGAACAAAGAAAATGAACTATGTGTGTGTGTGTATAAATATAAATATAAATAGAATAGTATTAGATATAAATAATAGAATACTATTTAGCTTAAATAAAAAGAAAATCTTGTCATCTGTGAAAATATGGATGAACCCTGAAGACACTGGGTTAAGCCAGACACAGACAACTACAAGGTGATCTATTATATGTAGAGTATACAGAAGCTGAACTCACAGAAAGACAAATGGTGGTTTCTAGATGCTGAGGTGTAGGAGGACTGGGATATGTTGGAGACTATGTACAAAACTTCAGTTAGGCAGGAAAAATAAGTCCAAGTGACCTGTGCATCACTGTAGTGTCGGCAGTTACTAACAAAATACTGTATTGTTGCAAATTGCTAAAAGTAGATTTTAAATGTTCTTATCACACATACACACAAAAGGTAAGTATGAGGTAAGACATATGTTAAATAGCTTGGTTTAGTCTTTTTCTTTCTTTCTTCCTTTTTTTTAATACTTTGCTATAGTCACACACACTTCCTGGAGAGAAAGACAAGTGAGAAATCACCCCTCAGGGGGATGGTCACCCCACAATTCCTTCTCCTACATTCTCTTCTTGGGATTTTGGACAAGCACATACATGTGCCTGGTATGTTTTTCAAGTCACTGGGTCCTAAATTTGAGCTGTGGGGTTGGCCATGTGAGTATCCAGCTATCCTAACCACAAGGCTATGGAGCCAGGCTCTCTCTTAAATCCAGTTTCAACCCTTCTCATCTTCCTCTTTTTATTTTTTTAGTTTTTTAAGACGGGGTCCCTTGATCTGTTACCTTAAATTTAATTGAGTAATTGCTTCACAAGTCATTTACAGAAAGTACTTTTACTTCCATAATATTTTATATCACAGTTGCTTCTAGGCCATTTCCCCCAGCATCTTTTGGATCAAGGCATGTAAAACGAGTTTAATATAAACTGAATTACTGTTCACTTAAAAATGTAAATCTTTGTGGTAGCAGAATAGTTAAGAAATTTCACAGTTGAAATTTTTTATTTCCTTTGTTTCTCTTTAATTACATAGATGCCTGTCTGATCTCAAAAGGCCTCTAGACAGCTAATTCAACAGAGGTGGGGTGCAGGATTGATCATGATAAAATCAAAGAGAATTTAGTGTGTTAACACAATTGGGTAACAAGAGGTCATGGTATACAAACACATAAAGACTAGAGTTTTATGGAGTTGACTCCATTTGTCAAGCTCGAAAGTGCAAGGTGGTTTTTAGGCTACTGTCTAAACTAGTATCACAGGACCTACCTCCTCACAAACTGTAGAGAAACGGTTGAGGAACTGTACAGTGTGCACCACAAACTGGTTTAGAAATGCCACCGTTCTTTTCTGCTGAATAGCTGGCACCTGTGTCATGTAAAAACAAACATGAATTCTACAGAAGAACGTACATTGTGCAAATTATTTTGGTATAGGGACATAATAAAGGCATTCTGAGGTGTGATACGAGTTTTTTGAAGGACTGCAAAGGGTCACTAACTCGTTTTCCTAAACCGTGGATCGGACGTCCGAAGATGACACAGGCTGCGCAAGTTCGAGGATGGATTCTTGATTCCCAAGAACTCATGTCAGCAGGTTAAAGGAACACACATAAACACGCACAACTCGGGGGTGGGGCCTGAATAAAACTGGTGGGGTTAGAATTTGCGACCAGCCTGTCGCCAGGGGGTCAACCTTGGGCATACTGGGACCTGACACGGAAGCGAAGACTGGGAGAGGTACATTAATCCCTTAGTCAGCCCAGCAGGCTCCTTTTCTAGGTGAACAGTGCGCTTTCCTTCCCGAAGCGGACAGAACGCCGTTTAGGGCCAGGAGAAGCCTGAGGAGGCGGGGTCTCCCTGGAAGCCGGATGTCCCTTCCCCACCTCATCCCCGGTCGCCGGAAGTCCAACTCCGTCTTTTACAAACCTTGGTCAGGTCTATGCCTGACCCCATGAGTGGAAGCCCATCCTCATCCATCTCAGCGGGCGGGGGTCCCGAGGTTCGCCCACAAACCCTCCCAAGTGGGGCTGGCCCAACCCGGTAATACTGTCTCAATACCTCCCCGGTCCCCGCCTCCAGGGCTCTTCCCGACGGAAGGAAAGCCTCCACTCGCCAATCACTCGAAGATTCCAGGAGGTCCCGCCCCTTCGCTCAGCATTGTGGGATTCGTAGTTCTTAGTCCGGATTGGACCGTCCGTCTAGGAAACTGCGAGGGGCGGTTCTGGTAGTAAAATCTTAAAAGGGGGACTCCCCTGCCAAAAAAAAAAAAAAAAAAAAGCCTGGAATTGTGTTCATTTGAGGGTACTCCTGTTTAATACTGTCTGTTATATAATAGCTCTGCCATTTGTTAAACAACTATGTATATATATGTATACGTGTCTATATGTATGTGTATTATATATGTGTGTGTGTGAGAGAGTGTATAGCTATATCTATCTGTCTGTCTGTCTATCTATCTATCTATCCTCTATCTATCTATATTTAATCCTACCAAATGCTAGCTACTCAGCTAAACCTTGTTGGGAATACCAAGACTGAGTCAAATTGAACTTGCTGCATTGTGGAGGCTTAACTCTCTGAGAAACGTTTCCAGCATCTTAAAAGCGTCAAGTAAAATGTCCAAAGCTATAGGTGAGGCACAAACCTATGCAAGAGGTTGCCACTTGGAGAGATCGTAGAAAGAGCAAATCGATCTAGGAAGAACTTTGCACCTGGAATTTGAAGATCTCAGTTTAGATTTTGACTTAAGTTTATCTGCTCTGTGATCTAGAACAAGTCACCTAGTCAAAAGTTTGAACCCTTTCTATGTACCAAGGAAGATGCTCAGTACTGGAAAGGTGAGAAGAGTCTCTACCTTCAAGAAATATATAGTTTAGGTAAGACTTGCCGAGTTTAAATGTACAGCATTTAGTCAAAACAAGCGAACAAAAAACCTGAAAGTCATGGGCATGTAAATGGGAACAACAAACATTCGTGTATGCACTGAATGTGCCGGTACACAGTGCTGTGGTACCATAAATAAGAGGCACTCCTAAATTTTCTGAGAAAACCAGAGAAGGTAGCTTTTTAACAGCTACTTAAGGGAAATTACAATAGACAGACAATTGGGAATGGATCTTTGTTTAAACAGAGGCACAAAGACAAAAAGAGTATGGTATGTAAGGAAAATGGAAAGCTGTTCGTTTTGTTAAAGTAAAAAAATCCACAAAATCCCGGAGGTGGAGGATAGGAAATAAAGTATGAGAATTAGAACATGCACATTAAGGGCCTTTTATGCTAAATCAAAGTGTGTATTTTCTCTAAGTGTGACCATGGACCACCTACATCAATGACTTCTGGGTGGGTGGTTAAAATGAGAGGAGCCCCAAATCTGAGTTTGCTCATAAATTCAAAGAACACACCTGGAGATCCAGCCTGGGGAGATAGGATTTACTTACTAGGGCACACAGCTCTGCTGATGGCCGGGTACAGAACGGTCCATCCACCACAAGCATAGGCTCACATAATATGTTACAGATCAAAGAGTACATACATCACCTGTAAGTTCAGCACAGACTCTCTATCTCCAACACAGCAATCTGGTTCCGACACGCATTGTTTTGAGGATGACAATGGTCAAGTTATCGATTAGCAGAGTTGCTGAGGCTTCTGCATTAATTTAGTGCCTCTGGTCTGAGGATGGTGACTTGGGAGAGGGGTGTATGCCTCCAGAATGGCTCTGTCCATGAGCTTATTTCATAAAGTAAGGGTATGGTCACAAGACTTTCCTAAGAACCAATGAGACCAGCAGAGTCTCAGGAAGATAAGGCAAAGAGGGAGGCAGGAGGAGAGAGCTCAGTGTTTGAAGCCTACCTTCAGTGTGGTGTTTTTTAAAATGCACACTCATGAGATTAACCTTAGATAAACTAAGTCAGGACCTCTGTGTGTGTGTGTGTGGGGGGGTGAGCTGAGAAATCTGCATTTTTAATGAATCCCACTGACATGATTATTATACATCAAAAGATTTGCAAATTAGTGCTGTAGGTGATGAGAGCCACTAAATATTTGAGAGCTGGAGAGTGGCATGATATAGAGTTGGTAAAAGACTATGCAGTGCCTGGCATGTAAATGTATAATAAATGATGGAAGTAGAAAAGTTGAGGGTGGTATTTGTACGTACAGAAATGAAATCAAAGTGATGAAGGATAGGATGAAGAAGAGTTTTATTTATTTACTTACTTGAATTGTCAGAGGGTCACATATCTCACCAGAGAGACGGCAGGGGACAGGTGTGGGAAACACTCTCCTGTGGGGCATGGTCTTGCTTGTCTCTTTATGCTTATGACTACTGGTATATCATTGTTTTCTTTTATTATTTTCTTTCAGCAAACATTTACTGATCCCCTTCAGTGGGGCATGGTCATGTCACACTCCTTTCTCTCTCATTTCTCCATCCCATCAGGATTTGGGGGCACATATGAACATGTGCTTTTAGTGTGTTTTTCAAGCCTCCAGGGCTGGGAGTCAAACTGCCAGGCCATATGAGATCTGGCTCACAATGCACAGGGCTTAACCATGACATACATAGCTGGCCCTAATGTACCTCCTGCAAAGGACTGTTCTCTGATCTTGTCGATGTTTAAGAGATAGATGACCCATAGTTTTAGACTATTTTGTTCTGCTTTGCATTCCCTTTCAACAGGGCCCAGAAACACAGGCACCATGAGAACGTGCAAGATTTGTGAATTCTTTCTACTTGCCAAATGCTTCCCCCCTCCTGATGCTTTCTTAGCCATCTTGGGGGGGGAGGGATCAGTCTGAGTGATTTATTTTAGTGATTAGGGATACTTCTAGACCCAAGCCTGTCCTAATAGCTTATATTGTTGGCAAAGTCTCAGCTGGTTTCTTCTGCTTTTTTGCTTTTCTTTTTATTTTTTTAAAAATTTTTACTGTACAGTGTGTGTGCTTGCTGGGGATAGAGATAGAGATAGAGACAGAGAAAGAGATAGAGCTGATATATATATATATATATATATAGAGAGAGAGAGAGAGAGAGAGAGACAGAGAGACAGAGAGACAGAGAGAATGAGAAAGAGAAATCATCCCTGTCCACCAGAGGAGATGGCCTTGCCTCAATCCTTTCTACTTCATTTTCCTCTTGGGATTTTGGGCACACAGACATGCACATGCCAGACATGATTTTTCTCTCCTTCCTTCCTTTCTTTCTCTCTTCCTTACTGTTTTTTTTTTTTTTTTAAGAGGTTTTTGCCGTAGGGTGTGTGCACTCGCTGGGTAGCTGGGTAGAGAGAGAGAGAGACAGAGATAGAGATAGTGAGAGGAAAAGTAAGAAATCATACACCCAGGAAGGATGGCCACTGCCACAATCCCTTCTCCTCTGTTCTTCTCCTGGGATCTTAGCATGTACACACATGTACCCAGTACCCACATAATTTTTCAAACCAATGAGTCCAGACTTGAACGAGGAGCAGGCCATGTGGGATCCTGCTGCCTTAACCTCTATGCCACTGGCTGGCTTCATTTTTGCTTTTTCTAAAGAAGTTCATCTTGGGGGCGGTCAGTGGTGTGATGGTTGGGACACCTGGATACCACCTGGCCGGCTGGACAATTTGAGTCCCGGACTTGATGGTTTGAAAATTACACCAGGGTCATGTGCGTGCATTCCCCAAATTCTGAGAGGAGAATGGATAAAAGGTCATACCACTGAGGTATGACCACCCCCCCCTTGAGGGTGGTTTCTCACTTTCCCTCTATTTGTCCCTCTCTGGTGAATGCATATGCCCCATGGCAATTTAAAAATGATAATAACTTTTCTTTCTTTCCTCCATAAGTGATAGAATCTTTTTTTTTTTTTAAGAGGTTTTTGCTATTGGGCACGTGCGCTTGCCAGATAGGGAGAAAGAAAGCGAGAAATCACCCCCCAGGGGGGATGGCCACGCTGCAATCCCTTCTCCTCCATTCTCCTCTTGAGATCTTGGGCATGCACTCACACGCTCCTGGCGTGAGTTTTAAGCCACCGGGTCCGGGACTCGCACCGCGGTCGACTAGGTGGGAGTCCAGCGACATAGCCATTACGCTAACTGCTGGTCCCAATAGGGTCTTCATCTGCAGTCTGCCCCCAGCTTGAACCAGCCCTGAACCGTGGGCGTGTGCGTTTCCAGACGTGAACACAAAACCTCCTTGTATGAGTCAGCTTCACATAGTGTTGTGTGACCTGTGTACCACTACCTGGCCCCTGTTTTCTTCTTAACTCTGCAGTCTCCCAGAGCGTAGCAGGCTTGCTCTTTCTGCTTGTCCCCAGGTCAGACTTTTCTCCCGGGATGTAGCAATGCCACAGCACTTTGCTCAGTTCTGTCCCTCTAAGCATAGACGGACATCGCTGTAGACTTTATCTCATTAAGGTCTTGTTACATCTATTGCTTTTCAACAACCCCATGGTAAAGTGTAAGTTTTACTTTATCTGGATGTTTCCATGGATGTGAAAGACTTTCTTGCATCTTTCTACATCTTAACTGGTAGCACAAGTTTTACCATCTTATCCTTAGACTTTTCCCTGACCCATTAAGACTAGATTAACTGTTTTTCTAAGTATATGCTTTCAGAGCATCTTCAGCTTAACTATAATTTAGCTCATATACCCACCTGTTTGCTTGAATGTCTCAGATTACCAATTTAGCGCAGAGACTCTCCTTTACTCACTGTAAGGTCTTAGCCCAACTTCTGACCTATAGTAAACCCTCAGTAAGTATTTGTTGAATGACAGTTGGGCCTGATGACCCTTGTGCTTATTTCATATTCCATGAACCCTTGGTTTAGGCGAGATTCACAACTGTGGGTGCTCAATCAGCTTCTTGGAGCAGGATGTTCTAGAC